GTTTCTGTAATTTTATACAAATGACAGCAAAGTCCTGATTCTTCAATGAGCTCTGTGTGAGTGAACCCACAGCCCCACACAGAGCTCCACTGAAGTCCATGTAAAGCAATTTGTAAAGCAACTTGCAGGACTGAGGTTTAAGGTAGTCTGACGTACAGAGAAACACACAGTACTACAAGATGCTAGAAATAATTCTAGGATATTGTATTGCACCATTTGTGAAACTGTATGTGATCATAATTAAAGTTCATTTAGTGCATACACACAAGGAATGTCCTCTGATGTTTGTGGCTGGATGGTTGTTTTTAAAGAAAATGCCATTATCTGGAACTCTACACCAAGGCTCCACCATAACACCGTATCCCATAAGTCGCACAACATCCACAGAAGCGAACCTTTCCTCTACAAACCTTAGAAGGCATGATTTGACCCAGAAATAGGACTCACTAAGGAATGCCTCAAATAGGTGCTATATAAAAAAATATGGCAGCTCAGTCAGCAAGAGGGGCAGCCCACTTGATTAATTAAGGCCTTGTAACCTGGCTGGTGTGGTGCTGCGGAAGGGAGCTAGGGTGTACGCCTACTGGCCGACATCTTCATTGGAAGGTAAGGGGCCAAATGACAAGTGGGGGCCTTCTGGTCTCTAATAGTATGTCTACACAGCATTTTGGACCAAGCGGGAGTGAGCGTCCCAGCTTGGTCCATAGACTCAGGCTAGCAGGGCTGATGCTAGTGTTCTAGAAATAGCTGTATGGACAGTACTTTGAAGTTGCGGCTCGGGCTGGAGCTGAGGCTCTGAAGCCCACCCGCTCTTCCTAGGTTTCAGAGCCTGAGCCACAACTTCAAAGCACTGTCTACACAGCTATTTCTATTGCACTAGCCCAAGCTCTGCTAGCCTCAGTCTATTGACCAGGACTGGAAGGCTTGCTATGGGTTAGGTGGACATACCTCTACTGGCTTCCTGTCTCATCAGGTCAGGGCTGTCCTGGCTCTCTGCTCTCCCAGCATGTCTTCACTACAGAGTTAGTTGGAGTAATTAGCACCTGGGTGCAAGCAGCTACGTTGCAAAGACCTACCCACGTTATTGTGTCCCCACAGGTGCTGCACTTCTCCAGTATGTCACTAGGACTCCTTGGAGCATATGCCATGGATCTTTGTACTGCAGTAAGCTGAGTCGCTCTAAGATTCCATCCCAGTGAATTGTGGGAGAACTTGTGTGCTCATGACAGACAGGAGAGTTGTGGGAAGGCACTAGAGAGTCATCAGCAGTTGAATAATTTAGCCTGCGTCATCACTGCAAGTTAGCAGTCCAAGTGAAAGTTGAACTTGGACTCTAAACCAACCCCTCAGCTGTGCCCAGGTTGAAAGCACCACTTAACTCAAGTGAGAGGTTTGCACATGTGAATGGAGGGGGGCTGGTGCAACACCCAAGTAAGAACTCAGGCTAATTCTGTAGTGAAGACAGATTCCCAACAGGACTTCTGTGTCAGGGAGAGGGAAAGCCTGAATGGTACAGGTTGAAGGGGCATTATCTCAAACATCCTTTCTGGAGCCCATTTTCCTAGGAGTCTTGGTGCCTTTTCCAGTGGCTTTGGGATGGTGGGAAGGAGAAATCTTCTTGCCTTTGGGGCACTACTCAATCCACCCCACCTCAACCCCACAGTAAAGGATCTGCAGACCTGAAAACTGATATCCATTTGACCCAGATTATGAGCCTTTCAAAATTATGAAAAGCCTCTTCCACTTCTCTGGAGTGTCACTAAGCAGCAAACTTCCCAATAGAGTATATTAAATGGTGCACAATTGCTGCTCACTTTGTCTGGGTAGCCACATGACATGTATATAAAGTGCAGCTTTCCCTAGCTGAACATTTTAAGCCTGATCCAGAGCATATTGCAGTTATTCAAGATAGGCCCTTTACAAGAGTAGGCACCAATCCTGCACCACATATACAGGCTTAACTTTCATATTATGCACATGGGAAAACGTGTGCAGAACTGAGGCATTAGCACTAATTATCTTGTTCCAAAATTAGCACATATGCTTAGATAGCAATTTTCATAGGCTCGCAGCTTGGTCAAATAAAACCAATGTTTACCAGACTACACAACTCCATCTACTTTTTTACATTACAACTCTCCAACAATCTTCTTTGCTAGGGCACTGCTGTGCCAAATTACAACAAAAGAGATGGTTAAAAAAAACCTTAACAGCAATCTTTTTTCTATTCTACTGAAATAAACACACTTACACACCCTATCCCCACAAAAAAAATTATTTTTTTAATTCATCTTTGGACAGAGACAAAGCCTGGAAAATTGCAGCCCCAAATATGAAAGTTTCATAAGAAACTGAAAATGGGATGCTGCCTTTCTTGTTATAATATGGTATGGGAGCTCTAAAATCATGGTAAACCCAATTTCCCACCCACCCCCCACACACACACCCCCAATAATGTCAGTTGTCCTAATGTTAAGACCAGAGGTTCTAGAGAATTTTTAGTTGGGTCAATTAGTATCCCCATGAAAAATATCCCAGCCCCCTAGAGAAGTCTGTCAGAAGAATGTGAAGATACATCTGAAAGGAAAAAGGGCTTCATTAAGGTCTCTGAAATATCTTAGAGGCCGAGGATCATGCGCACAAGTGATATTTTTAACCACTAACGAAGTTCTTAAAAAAAATTAAAATAGATCAAGCAAAAATGCTATGTAGATTATGTTCAGAATAAGGTACATGCTTCAGTACTTTCTGGTATACATCTATATATGGTACAATAATATGTATTTTTAAAAGAAATTCTCCCATAATTCAAAAACTCCTGAAGAGATTTTCCTTAAACTGTTTAAAAAACAGAATGAACCCTAACTTCATCATCAAGCAGGGATAGAAATTTTTAGCCCAAAAGATGAAATGTGAAAACAGGGTGTTATAAATCTCTAGTAAAGCAGGCACAAGCAGGCAAACTATACACATGCACAAAGGTCAGTTACGGTGTTGGGTTTGTTTTTCCCCCCCAAAGACCATGATTTGCCTTCTAGAACCTTTCTATACTGCCAGAAGTTGCATGGTGGGAAATGGTCTTATAACACAGTAGTGCCTTGTCTTGTATTAATTTTCATGCAAGATGTACACTTTCATGACAAGGCTTGCAAAATTCTATCTGCCCCAGGCCATGTATCTCTCTGACAGGCAAGTAAAATACCATTAGATATTTCATTATCAAGAATCATAGTGAAGGGCACACATGAACATTTTGTGCCTGGGCTTGTAAATTTTCATAGCTATTTTGCCAGGCACATAAACACAAAAGTGACTCTTATATCTTGCTTGTGAATACCAGACCAAACTGTGGTATAACCATGTTACTAAATCTTGTTTCAGGAACATGATTATACTGCCATTTAGTCACAGCTACACAGGCAAGCCCAAACAGTCAGGATACCATCACGTTGTGACATGATCACCAGACACGGGAATTTTGGAAGAAACTGTCTTCAATTCTAACTGACCCGGTCCTACAAGGTCTTACGAATGTAACTGTATGCATGTACATATGCTTAGTAGTCCTGCTGACTTCAACCGGGTCATTCACAGTGCAGAAATTAAAACACAGTAGGCAAGTCTTTGCAGACTCAGGTCCCAAATTTTGTCCAACTTGGAGGAAAAAATCCTATCAGACTGTAAACCCAGCATGGAAAATATCAACATGAAAGGAATATTTTTGCCTAAGCTATGAACTCAGAGTTAGCAAAGGTTGAAAAATAAAATTAAAACTACTTTGCACTTCTAGAGAGCCTTTCATCTAAAGAAGATCTCAGAGCACTTTATAAACATGGCCTCAAAAATCCCTGTGAAGTAGAAGATCAGTTTTGCATGGGTAAAGTTGTTAATCATTCACCAAAAATCACACAGTAGCAGAGCACAGGGTAAAACCCAGGGATCCTGACTCCTAGCCCCCAGCCCTAACCAGGGGGCAGTACTTCATTTTCTGTATGGAAACTCTTTACTACAGTAAAAAAAAAGTTAACAGCATCTTACCATATATATTAGTCTCAAAATAGGAATTCTAGGAGATGTTTGAGTTCTCTAGAGTTCCAAGGACATACAATGTTGCTGCAATGGAGGTGTGGAAGCTTATGGAAAGCTGCAGAAATAATTTCTAATGACAGCAGTGGGGATTAACACTGAACTGCAAGATAATTCCATGGGCCCTTCCTTCGGTGCCCTTCAAAAACTGCAAGTTATTCTCTTTAAACAGTTCCTGAAAAGAGATTGTCTAGGCAAACAGCATTGGTGCAAAAAAAGCTGAAATCCTTAAATGATGACTCATCTATTTATGTTCAGTAATTCTATAATAACTGCATTAAGAATCCAAAAAAAACTTACTGTTGGTGCTGTAATGAAACTACAATAATATTTTACAACTTATCTATAAGCCACCAAAAGAAGTCATTTAACAGTCGACTATAGCGGCTGCTCACAAAGGTGCAGATTTCTCAGCTGAAGGCACGTCAACATGAAGTCAACAGAGCTATGATAATTTACACCAACTGAGGATCCATATCTTTCCAAGCATCCTAATAATACACATTACAGAGCTGTCACAATTTAGAGCGCATTGGTGAAGGCTATAAAACATACTGGAAGCATCCATGTTTAATAATTCAGACTTAAAATATTTTGGGGTGGCTGGG